TTTTGGAAGTTATAAAACCTTAACTCTTTCATAAATTGTTGAGGGAATTGTTAAGTCGTAAGGAAGGATTCCCCAGGTAGAAAATTTATTCATGCTTCAATTCCCACATACTATTTAACCCTTGTCAACATTTTAAAAATGCATAACAGTAATTGAAGTTGTAGGATGAAAAAAGTCCACAGGGTTTTCATTTTGTCATGATCGATATTTAATAACAGAAGACCAAAAGCATGAGATTATGAATGATATCAGGCACATCATAAAGTTTTGAGAGAATATTTATTAAAAATTATTATATGCACAAACGAAAATGTCTGTAGCCTGAATTGCTAATTTAGGTCAATAATCTCTTGTGTAGAAATCCAAAATTTTTCACTAAAACATTTCACAGACTATCTTGACAACTGAAGGGTTCCATCAGCTTTTTTTGACAAGAGAAGGCATTCAATAATCAAGGAAGGTTGTACCTTGACCCCTAATATAAACAGGGATCTGCACTGAACAAACACATGCATATATAATATGCAACTTTGAATTTTAAACGAATTGGAACAAGTTACTATGAACACTGTATATATAATTATCTTGCCACATTCTGAACAGATCTAATCAGTTATGTCATTTGTTTGGTAATGTCAGTTAGGGCTCAGACATAAATAATTCCAATTTTTGCCTTTGACTACTAGAGGTCTAAATGTATATGTTTCAGGGTTCTCTCCCTTTATTTGAAAACAAAATTAGTCAATAAATATTCAACAAAAAATGGATGACCAAAATCAAAAGGTTTCAAAATTGACTTATTCAAGTCAAGAGGTTACCATAATTGGCTATCTTCAAATTAAGACCTTTGTACCACTATACCAAGGTTGTGCATCTAAAGGAAATTGTGACCACATTGCTAGGCAATGCTCTCTTTAAATAAATGACAAATGTGGATAGTGTCCAGATGTGGACACAGATGATGCCCCCTCTTGCATATCATATAGTTATAAAGGGACATACATGTAACTGAAGAACGGTAAAAGTGACGCTACCCAAATTTGAACTTGATCTGAGTTTTGTGGTAATAAGCATTGTGTGTAAGTCTCATAACATTTGGTTGAGGCTAACTTAATTAGAGAACAGAAACTAAAAATTCAGCAATTTTCATACGACCGCAAAAATTTTTTGGTCGTATATTGGTATGACGTTGGCGTCGTCGTCCGGCATCGTCGTCCAGCGTCGTTGTCCGAAGACACATTGGTTTTCGCACTCTAACTTTAGTTTAAGTGAATGGATCTCTATGAAATTTTACCATAAGGTTCAATACCACAAAAGGAAGGTTGGGATTGATTTTGGGGGTTATGGTACCAACAGTTAAGGAATTAGGGGCCAAAAATAAGCATTTTTGTAACTTCCAGTCATAACTTGTGTGTTAGTGTATGGATCTCTCTGACATTGTACCACAAGATTCCGTATCACAAAGGGAATGCTGGGATTGATTTTGGTGGTAATTGCCTCCAAATTTTAGGAATTAGGGGCCAAAAAAGGGGCAAAAAACAAGCATTTTTCTAGTTTCATGATAATAACTTGTGTGTAAGTGTATGGATCTTTCTGAAATTGTACTACAAGGTTCCATATCACAAAGGAAAAGCTGGAATTGAGTTTGGGGGTAATTGCCCAAAACGTTTAGGAATACGGGGATAAAAAGGGGCCAAAAATAATCATTTTTCTAGTTTCCAGACAATAACTTGTGTTCAAGTGTATGGATCTCTCTGAAATTGTACTGCAAGGTACCATACCACAAAGGGAAGGCTGGGATTGATTTTGGGGGTAATTGCCTCCAAATTTTGGGAATTAGGGGCCAGAAAGGGGCAAAAACAAGCATTTTTCTAGTTTCATGACAATAACTTGTGTGTAAGTGTATGGATCTTTATGAAATTGTACTACAAGGTTCCATATCACAAAGGGAAAGCTGGGTTTGAGTTTGGGGGTAATTGCCTGAAACGTTTAGGAATTTGGGGCCAAAAAGGGGACTTCAAACAAGCATTTTTCTAGTTTCCAGACAATAACTTGTGTTCAAGTGTATGAATCTCTCTGAAATTGTACTGCAAGGTACCATATCACAAAGGGAAGGCTGGGATTGAGTTTGGGGGTGATGAATCGTAAGGGGGTTCAAAAAATTTGGGGGAGGTATTTTTTTTTTCTTTAAAATTTTCCTTTTTAAATTTGTTATTTCTGATTTATATATAAAAGCAAATAATAATGATATGGTTTGAATAGGTAAATTAAAATTTTTAAGTTCTTAGACCACATTCATTCTGTGTCAGAAACCAATGCTGTGTCAAATATTTACAGCAGATTCCATTGAGTGTGTAGTGAAAGGTAATGTCTTTGGTTAGCTTGCTTGTTAGCTGAACCGTGAAGTCATTATTGGGTCAGGTATACTACCCTCCTTTCAAAGTAGCATAGTCCAACAGACAGATCGATTGGTTTTCTGTCGGACTAGTCTATTCTTAAAGTAGGGTAGTTTACCTAATCTAACAATGAATTCACGGTTCAGCTAACAAGTAAGCTAACCAAAGATATTACCTTTGGCTACACACTCAATGGAATCTGCTGTAATCACAATCCAAATTCAGTGCTGTATCAAGCTTGAATGTTGTGTCCATACTTGCCCCAACTGTTCAGGGTTTGACCTCTGCAGTCGTATCAAGCTGCGCCCAGCGGAGCATTTTATTCTATTTGTAAACACGCATAACTCTTCAACGGTTGTGTATAAGTTTTATAACATTTGGTTGAGACAAACTAAAGTTCGAGAATGGAAATGAAAAATTCAGCAATTTTCATGTTTATAAAGGGACATAATTCAAGAATGGTAAAAGTGTCGCCACCAAATTTCGTACTTAATCTGTATTATGTAGTAATAAGCATTGTGTATAAGTTTCATAACATTTGGTTGAGGCAAACTAAAGTTAGAAAACGGAAACAAAAATTTTGTACTTGATCTTAGTTTTGTGGTAATGAATATTGTGAATAGGTTTCATAATGTTTGGTTGGGGCAAACATAATTTACAGAATGGAAACTAAAAATTTTGCAATCTTTCGATTTATAAAGGGCATAATTCAATAATGGTTAAAGTGACACTGCAAATTCAACTTGATCTGTGTTTTATCAGTGGAAGTCAAAATTAAACATTGCATTGTATAAAGCATTGATTGTAGTTGATTCAACTATAATCATGGACAAAGGAAGATAACTCCAATTTTAGAAATTACTTGATATTTAAGATAAAAATTTTGCAATTTTTCCATTTATAAAGGGGCATAACTCTAGAACGGTTAAAGTGATGCCACCAAAATTCAAAGTTGATCTGTGTTTTGTGGTAATAATCATTGTGTATAAGTTTCATAACATTTGGTTGAGGCAAACTCAAGTTAGAGAACGGAAACCAATTTTGGGACGTATGGTCATACGTACGTTCGTATGTATGTACAGACGGACAAGGGTACAACTTAATACCCCCACCGCTACGGCGGGGGCATAAAAAAAATGGCTTTCTAATGCAAAATTGACATAGATTATTACTTATATAAAGCTACACTCCTAGAAACCCTCAGAAAAATTTGTATATGTCATTGGTAATGTAGTTTGGCCAAAAAGTCAAATGAAATGTGTTCATCCTGTTTATAAAACATAAATTGACCTAAACAAGTCTGTCATTTTCTGACCTACATGAGTCAAAAATTATTTTAACGTTTTTCATCATAAAACACTGACTTCTGTAAGTCCCAAACAAATAAATGTGGATAGTGTCCACATGTGGACACAGATGATGCCCCCGCTTGCATATCATATAGTTATAAAGGGACATAACTGAAGAACAGTAAAAGTGACGCTACCCAAATTTGAACTTGATCTGAGTTTTGTGTGTAAGTCTCATAACATTTGGTTGAGGCTAACTTAAGTAGAGAACAGAAACTAAAAATTCAGCAATTTTTCTATTTATAAAGGGGCATAACTCAATAATGGTTAAAGTGACACTACCCAAATTCAACTTGATCTGTGTTTTATCAGTGGAAGTCAAAATTAAACATTGCATTGTATAAAGCATTGATTGTAGTTGATTCAACTATAATCATGGACAAAGGAAAATAACTCCAATTTTAAAAAAAACTTGATATTTAGAAGAAAATAAAAATTTTGCAATTTTTTCCATTTATAAAGGGGCATAACTCTAGAACAGTTAAAGTGACGCCAACCAAATTCAAACTTGATCTGTGTTTTGTGGTAATAAGCATTGTGTATAAGTTTCATAACATTTGGTTTAGGCAAACTTAAGTAAGAGAACAGAAACTAAAAATTTTGCAATTTTTCCATTTATAAAGGGGCATAACTCTAGAACGGTTAAAGTGACGCCACCAAAATTCAAACTTGATCTGTGTTTTGTGATAATAAGCATTGTATATAAGTTTCATAACATTTGGTTGAGGCAAACTTAAGTAAGAGGACGGAAACTAAAATTTTTGCAATTTTTCCATTTATAAAGGGGCATAACTCTAGAACGGTTAAAGTGACGCCACCAAAATTCAAAATCTGTGTTTTGTGGTAATAAGCCTTATGTATAAGTTCCATAACTTTTGGTTGAGGCAAACTTAAGTTAGAGGACGGAAACTACAAATTTTGCAAATTTTCCATTTATAAAGGGGCATAACTCTAGAACAGTTAAAGTGACGCCACCAAAACTGTGTTTTGTGGTAATAAGCATTGTGTATAAGTTTTATAACATTTGGTTGAGGCAAACTCAAGTTAGAGAACGGAAACCAATTTTGGGACGTACGGACGTACGTACGTACGTACAGACGGACAAAGGTAAAACTTAATGCCCCCACCGCTAGGGCGGGGGCATAAAAATACTTGTTTATGTATGACATCTATGAACTGTGACTGAATATGGACATTGGACAAGGTATGACACTCTTTGCAATAAGACATCTGAAAATTAAAAATAAATACTGACCTCTCTGAGTGTTGCTATGGTTTTCTTGTTAATATTTGACTGTTGTAATATCTCTCTATTTTCTCTTTCAAATTCATGCAACTTTGAAGATGTCTCTTTCTGTGTTTCTAACGTCCGTTTGACACTCCGATGTTCTCTTTCCATAATATTACACTTTGTAGTCAGTTCATCTACAGTAGTGTCTTTTAACTGTACTGACTGCTTCAGTCTTTTGTTTTCTTTTTCTAGCACTGCTTTAGAAGTCTGTAATTTACTTACTTCATTTTCAAGTTCTGAACTTTCTTTTTCCACATTATGTAATCGCTTACTTGACATTTTCATTTCTTCCATAGCTTTTTGTAACTTTTCATTTTCGACCTCCAGATCAGTATTGTCTTTCTCTAACTGATTCAGACGTTTTGTGGTTACCTCTAGAGATTTCTGAATTCTCTGATTTTCATTGTCCAGATCTAACAGATCTAATTCCATTTGTTCTTGTTTAGTCCTTTGATTTCTCTGATTTTCCAGACTTTTCCGAAGCTGTTGTATTTCCCTATTCTGTGAATCTTTTTCACTTTCTAATTCAGCTATCCTTGAAGAAGCACTTTTCATAGAGTGTAATGACCTTTCCAACTTTTTATTTTCCACTGTCAGGTTAATATTTTCTTGTTCTAAACTTTCCTTTTTCTGTAATGCCGACTTCAGTGTCTGAACAGATTTTTGTAACTTTCTGTTTTCTACTTCCAAATCAGAGTTTTCTTGTTCTAACACCTCACTTTTGTCACATATCAACTGCAGAGTTGCTATATTCTTACGTAATTCTGAATTCTCTTTTTCAAATTGTGAATTTTCTGTTTCCAATTCATTTATGTGATCAGAGTTTAATTTTAATTTTGAAAATGATTTTTGTATTTGTCTATTTTCATGTTCTAACTTTGATGTCACTTGATTTTTTGCTGTCACAGTTTCATGTAACTGTTTATTCTCTTTTTCTAATTCTTTCAGACGTGTATCATTCGTCTGCTCATTTCTTTGTCTTATGACATGAACCGTCTGCTGGAGGTTGTCATTTTCAGCCTCTAATTCTCTGACTTGTCTCTCATAATTATCTTTAAGTGTTTCGAGAGTTTGAACAAGATTGTCTCTTTCTCTTGCTGCTACATGCAGATTTTGTTCTAAGTCAATACACTGTTGAGAAGAATCGTTTGAAGAACCCTGAAGTTTTTCTATTTTCTTTGCTAGTCTTTGGTTTTCTTTTTCTAATTCCAAATTTAGAGAAGTGTTTTCTATTAAAGAACTGTCACGAAGTTCTTCAATTTTTTTCTTTAATCTCTGGTTCTCCAGATCTAGTCTTAGCACTTTAGCATTAGTTGTTTCTGCCATTTGATCAGATAAAGTGCCACCAATGCCTGAAAAATTAAAAATGGATTAAAGTTTAAATGTAAAAAAATAAACCCAAATATGGTTTTCTACAATTATAAATCTTTCTTGAAAGCTTAAAAATTTTAAATGCAGATTTTTTTTGCAAGTCATGACAAATAATATTGAGATCCAAGTAAAATATCAACGGTTCTGTTAGTTAGTTTGCTTGTTTTTCTTTTGTAATTTTTTACCTTTATCAGATACCTCTGAAGAGTTCAAAGTTTGGAAAGCTGAAGATATTACTATATTTAAAGCTATATAACCAAAACAGGTCAAAAGGAGACATCTTATGAAGTAAATAAATTTTGTTATATTAAATATTGTGTGTAAAAAGCCAGAATTGTGTAAGTTCCTTTTCCAGGCAGCTCTCGCTTTTGTCCTATTTCTCTGAAGTCATACACATAATCTATTAGTTTATTTTGCACTTTTTTGTTGTTGTGACTTTACACCTAATATTGAAGACGAAAGAGTAAATTCCAATTAATTTTCATTATATCACTTTTATTGTCTTTATTTGATTTGTTTTTATAATTACATTCAAACCTGGGTAAACCAGACCCTGAATAAACAGGTTTCCTGTCCATTCCCGCCTATATTATAGTCCCATTTTTTCCCCTTCAAAGTCTTTGTAAAAATACCCCCTGTAAACCAGACACTGTGTATTCTGAATTCCGGTCTAATAATGAAGTCTCAATACTCTTAATTACATTAATTATTATCTGTCAAAATGGGTTTGTTTAATCAACATAACAGTATGGATTGATATGCAATCAAAACATAATTGTTTATACAAGTTGGTGTTTCAGGATTATCAATTATCAAGGTGTTAAACCGTGAACTCACAGTAGCAACTTTATTATTGAAAAACCATTTAGTTTTAATTAAAATAATCTAAAAGAAACGCCATATATCTCGCATAGAACTTGCGTTGTGACTTTGATAATTTTTTCAAATCCTGGAGTAAGAAATGCTGGGTGCCCTGTTGTGAACCCTGAAACCAATGACCCTGATAATGAAGAAGACCTGGATGACGACATTCCATTGTCGAGTTGATGGGTATCGTACATTGTAGGACAATATTTCGATTATGATGAAATTTCGGTTGATAAAATTCTTGCTTTTTAATCGGCTATACCAACGTAGGAAATGAACAATGGAAGTCAAACAAAACTCTTGTTGAACAATTCAAACAACGCGAGGATTCTGATGCAAATGAAAACAATGAACTCAAAGTGAAAGTGAAACTGATGAGTCGGAGACTTAACCTACAGAGGTCGATTTGACATACGATGATATGAAAAAAAAAAAGTTAAAATATTATTTTTTTGAATTTGGGGGACAACCAATTTCTGAAATTTCTAATATTTATACAGGTTTTACTGTATATATATTTTCTGTATGTCAGCTATAAAATCGCCGAAATTTCTAACTATAGCATGTAAAACTGTATACAAATGAAAGACACAAAACTAACAAAATTACCAGAAATTTTAAGTCTTGCCGATTCCAGTTCGTGTTCCAAATTTGTACTTTCGTTCATGTTGGATTTCTTTTCAAACTGTAACTGTGCATTGTCTTCCGTCAGAATCCTGATCTTTTCTCTGTCAGCATCTCTTTCCTACAATAATTAATATTTCATTTCTTAAGTATTAAAAAAGTTTAGTATATACATCAAATGTTAAAAATTGTGTAAAAATTAACAGAGATCATTCAAAATTACCTCCCCTTAACTTAAGCTACAATTTTATTTATATAGTTGGATTGTAAGTGAATGTTTTTAAATGTATATATTTATATCAGTTAATTCAGTTTACTTATTATGTTTAAAAGTATAACTGAAGTCAATTATATGCAAACTTTAACATTGTTAAATTGAAAGCACATTTTTTTTCCTACAAAAAACACCTATTTTTAATAGGAAATGCAGTTTTAAAATGCTTTTCACTTCTTTTCTTTTCAATTGTTTTTTTTTTTTTGTGTACTTCAAGTGGTGAATATTTTTTTTTCTAAATCAAAACAAATTTCAACAATTTATAAAACTTTTGGAAAAAGTGGACCTTGTCCTTTTGCATTTTCAAAGCCAAAAGTGGTAACACTCCTTATTGACATCTACATTAAATGATCCTTCACAGATATGGAGCTTCCATCTGCTAACTGACTCACTATGACACACAGCAAGGCTTTTTTGTATAACCTCAAGAAGAATGAATCCCATACCTGACTACATGGAACTTGATTGCTAACAGTGTTGAAATTTGTTTTTTTCCCAAGGATATTTTAGTTTGTTCTTGTTGTTCCATAGTAAATAAAACTTGTCTTCGAGATTTAAATCATTCTAATTAAAGGGAGATAACTTTTCTTTTAACAATTTACTAACCAATGTCATTTCTTCTACTTGTTGTCGATATCTCATCAGTTCATTTTCTAGCTCAATCACTGTTTCTACACGCTTATGACTGGTTGACAGTTGCTCCTCTAATATGTTCTTAGTTTCTGTCAGTATGGCATTATCCTCTCGAAGTTCCTGTAATAATGGAATGTACATATCAATTGTCCACAAACATAATTTTATCTTGTAAACAATACTATAACTGTTCATAACAATTTTTGTAAAAGTTCATAACCTTTCATTTTAATTTCAATTTGATAACTTTTATATTCTAAAGAATTGTTCAGTAAGTGAATACTTATATAAAGTTAAAATCTTAAATTGAAAAAGAAATTTTCTTTTGTTTATACTTTTATGTTAAAATTTTGAGAAATGGCTACTTTCAAAATGAAATGTTTCATCACTCCAAGTTGTCTGGTTGGTGGAAAATAATCATTACATATCATGTCACTTTTTCCTAGTTATAGACATTAACATGTTCAATAGTATGACCTACTTACATTGACCCTGGACTTGTAGAATTCCAACTCATTCAACTTCTCTTTACACTTTGTCAACTCAGTCTGGTATGAATTAGACTGTGCTACCTGTGATAAAAATAGAAAAAAAATATAATGTCAAACTAAATCTAGATATACGAGCTGTATTTCACTGCTTAAAATGTCAACATGGTTTCATCTATTTAGAGCACTAGTATAAATATATGTGTTTATTTGTGTTTACTCCATCAGCAGTATTTGTATGATATAAAACGCCCACTATGACAGTGTTCTTCCGTCAGCAAAAATACCGACCAGAACAACAAATTTGAGCAATGAAAATAAATAAAGGTACACAATAGCTAGATACTATGGGAAACTGCAGTTATATTTGGCTATCAAATGCTGACCTTTTGTCCACTAAACCCTAGATTTAATGGGCTCAGGCAAATGGAGAGGTAACAATTCGAATGTTGCATGTTATCAAGATAGGTTAATAGGAAAATACATGTTTACAGTGTATGCAACTGGTAATTTTTTATGAAGATTTCTCACTTTACTTTTTGAGAAATTATCAAGTTCAAATAAGCTGAATTATGACAGGAATTAGTTCACATTTCATTAATATTGTGATCTTTTTAAGTTACTTATCAAAAGTAAATGTTTTCCAGGATTTATAACACTTACCTTTTCTCTCAAAATATCAAGTTCATCTCGCAACAGTCTAGCAGCTCTTGCATCTTGTATCAATGTGGCATTCTGTAAAACACAAACAGTTTTTTCAACTCTGACAATAGCCTAGTAGAAAATAATTCTTAATATTACCCGTATGAAAATTGTTCTTTAATTTGGTTGATCAGACTTTGGTGTCAGATCTGAATCTATATGAACTCCCTTATTCTATAATGAAAAAGACTTACAGGTTTTCTGTAAAGATTAGTAGTGAATATGAGCTGTCACCTGATAGACTAACCTTTTTATACCATTTCAAGATTTTTAAATTCAGAAATTTTTATGTTTTAATTTTGCAAAAAAAGTGATGAGACTAGAATTAAGTTTAATTGAACTTGTATTTTAATAAATTTTATTCATATTACTGAGAGCTGTAATTTCGGAAATCAAAATAAGTAAACTTGCATTTTTGTCAGTTAGTGCAATAATAAATCAAGCAATAATTTTTGAATTTTCAGAAATATTACTCTGTGTACAACAAAATACAATAATTTCAAAATATTGGTTAAATATATTTCTGTATTTGGAGGTATGCTACCAATCATATAGTTGGTCCGAGTACACAGTTATTTCGTAGTGCATTTCTTTTAGACAATAAATTAAAATTAAAAAAATCCCACCTGTGCTTTCTCAATAATATTTTTACAGTGTGTTGTACTACTTTTGGGACAAATTATATCAAATTTATAGAAAACTTCATCGGCTCTAACTCAAAATATGGACAATTTCATGTTAAGGGGGTCTTCAAATCTTTTGACAGCTTCCGAAGTGCTAATTTTTAACATTTTTCAGCTGGACCAAATCACTACTTTACTTTGAAATTTATGACCCAAATTTTTTTACAGTGTCATTTCATCCCCCTTCTTGCTATTTGAGTCATAAAACATGGAGAAATAAATTTGGAAGGGGTATAAAAAAAATTGGCAAGTAACACACTGTCCACACTAGGGACTATATTCGTGGACAACGAAAATCAAAGGACGATAACTGTGTACTCGGACCAGTTTGGATGTACTATCCAGAGAATATTACTCATGAAACACTAGATTTTGAAATGGCAAATTATGAACAGAAAATACACATTAAACATAGCTCATATTGGAACCTACAATTTTTTTTCTAAGAACATTATGTGCTATGGAAATTTGCATGGAAATAGCAGGTAGATAAATACGAACATATCTTACATTATATATTTTATTATAAATTATTCAGAAATACAATGATTTATTTTTTATAAGTGGACTGCAGTATATCTAACCTCATTTTTAAGTTTGGAAACAATCCCTTTATTATCATCCTGGTCTACTTGTAGGTCTGAAATCAATTCTTGCTTATCTTCCCTGGAAAATAAAAAATAAATAATTAAAATGATTGTAAACAGTAATACTTCACGATGAACATCAAAAGCTATTTTTGGAAGTTTTGTGGTACTACCAGATGACCAAACACTAGCTGCTTACATGCTTTTTATGTTAGCTAATATTGTAAACCTGTCAAGAAATGGTTTAAGGGAGACAACTGCAGTATTTTTGTCATGAAAGTTGGTTTGCAGACTATACATAATTGTTCATATTTATTCTTTGCTAGACACTTTATTGTTACACATTAACCAATGATATTTCTACAAACCACAAAAATATATCTTGAGATTTTCAGGTATAAAAACATATCTCAAGAGTTACAGTCAAGAAAAAGACAATATATCATCACTACATTTTCAAGATTTAAAATATGTTTAACATTGTTATCTTAAATCAATAAAAAATACTTCCACTACAAAAAGACAGAGATTATAAATATGAGGATTTTTTTAAATTCTTAACCAAAGGATTATTTGTTGAAATATATGAAACTTTTAATTTCAAATACATGTAAAGAATTTCAAAAAAAGTTAAAAGTTTTGAATAAAAAAAATGGGTATTATTATTGTCAGCTCTATAGAGTTTAAGGCATATGTATTTTGTACATAAAATTATACTGATTCTTTACTGATGAAGGTAAATCTAGAAAAGTGCTTTGAATGCATGGAATTTATAACGCGTTGTTTTCTTATTTTATAATTCTAGTACAAGTTACAGATTTTAGCTTTAAAGTTTCTAATAACTAAAAATTCCAGCACAAGTTTTCAGATTCCAGCTTTAAACGATTTTTATAGTAATCTAAATGCCCTAGTTTCCAGATTTAACCTTTATACTATTCCCTTATCTACAATTACTGTCTTAAGATTCATGACTTGAACTTTACACTATTCCCAAACTTACAATTCCTGTCTAAGTTTCCTTATTTTTGCTTTACAATCAGCCAGTTCTACTACCATGTGATGTTTCTCTGGACTAGTGGGAGTGGTCAGGGGTAGAGCAGTATTCCCTCTGATCTGAGCCTGATAGAAGTCTCTCTCCTGTGCCAATTCTGTAAGGATCTGTAATGTAAAAACAATATGTATATTTTTCCAGTTTCAGTGAAACATATTGCATATGTTATGTTATTTGTACAAATGTACTGATAAAATGTTACTAATTTTAATCAAATTATGAAAGAAGTTTTTTTTAGCATCACATACCTTATACAAGTCATAAGCACAGAGACCATTTTTTTTAAAATCTGATGTGCTATAACAATGGGTATACAATGAAAAAATTTAAACAGATCTTAAAGTCTAGAAAATGTATTAAATATAAAATAAAGCAAACAAGTGAAACTGAGAGCTACTGCTCACTGATGATACCCCTGCCCAAATATTTTGGTAAACAGGAAGTTGTTGAGTGATGAATCTGAAAACACATCACACAGTATAGTATTTTCATGGACTAAGGAATATTGGTAATATTTGATTTTGTTTTTTTTACAAAAGTTTGAATTCAAACCTACAGAAATATGTAGTTTGTTGACCATTTAAATTTGTGGTTCACATGTACCCACGAATAATAATGAATCCACAGTAATTGAACAAATTCATCAAATCACCAGCAATTTAGTTTGGTAAACGTAGGAACTATTTTGTTTTAAATATGTACTACTTTCCAGTATGTTTTTTTTTACTGGGCCCGATTTGGTGGTGTTGCGTCTTACAAAGTCTATCCAAATCATTATTGCAAAGAATTCTGCTCAAGCCGGTGCTAGTTGTCTTCTTAAACTTGCAGTGAGGTGAGAGTTTTTTGTTCCGTGTTGAAGGCCTTACTGTGACTTTGAGATGAAGAACAGCAATAAAAGCGCTGTTCCTTTGCTTTTTGTGTGTTTTGTACATGTACTGATTTTGTGTCATGGATGGATACCCCATATCCTTTGTTTTTCTATTATAACATTTGCTACACTTCCAGGCTACTATATTCATTTATTAATTTTTAAATTATTTTGGTGTGGCATAACTTTAAATATTGCACCTCAAAATAATCGTCTCTCTCTTTCAAAAGTCTTGTTACGTGGTTAAACATTTTTTCTGTATACGTTTCTAACTGTTCTGTTGGTTCTATGTGCATGATGAATTCTGTGTCATCTGTAACCTGCAAATATAAAACAAATAAAATAACATAAACATAAACAAAGTTGGGTCAGATTCTTTCATACATGTTTTTTTCTTCCAAAAAGTCACCCATCTGCGTAACTGTAGGAAGTCATTCACTCCCAAGTTAATCTTCAATCTGTGATTTTGTTGGTTCAATTTTTTTTGGTGGTTTGTAGAAATATCTTTGGTTCATGGATTTTTAATTTGTGGTTTTAGATTGCATAAAACAAATTAACTGAATATACATACATGTAATTTGTTGCAAATTAAAATTGAAATTGAATTATTGAATCCATAAAAAAAATACCAAAAAAATCAAAATACTTTTATGGTATGGATGGAAAAACAGCAATAGATTCTATTTGACCATTGCCATCTTTAGGTCTTTGATTTTCTATTCATAATTTGTCAAAACATGTATGATGTTTGTCTTTTACAGGATACCAAAATGTTTGAGGTAAAAAAAGACCTTGGTGAAGATAATGACATTGTTACAGTAAAGTTACAGAATCATACTTGATAACTGCTAATAAGATAAAAGCAAATAAAATAATGCCAAGATAAATAATTTGAAAGCGTTTCCAAATTTCTATTTTTACCAAGTTTCATGATAATCAAGATCTCTTTACTGGCATAGTTAACTTTGCATCAATAAAACTAGCAAAATTTTCTGCATGATTGTTATGCAGATTATTTTTGGAATTCCTACTTGAAGCATCCAATTAGTAACAGAGGCATTAAATTAATGATCAAAGTATTGATTTTTGTAGAACTGAAGCACACTTTTAGAGCATGTTAAATAAAATGCTCCGCTGGGGCGCAGCTTGATACGACCGCAGAGGTCGAACCCTGAACAGTTGGGGCAAGTATGGACACAACATTCAAGCTTGATACAGCACTGAATTTGGATTGTAATTAAATATTTGACACAGCATAGGTTTTTGACACAGAATGAAAGTGGTCTAAGAACTTAAAAATTTTCAATTTACCTATTCATACATGTGATGGACTGTGAAACTCAGATCAGGAGATTGGGAAATTTTGGTCAGGAGATTAGGACTCAGATCAGGAGGTTTTTAATCGACATTAATTTTGTTGTAAATGTAACCGTGTGCTGTAAAAATGGTCTTTTAAAGTGTGTTTTCTTTAACTTTCCAACCAATTTATTATGTTTATAGTACCCTTGTACTTATAAAGTTTCTCCATCTTTATATTCTTCATGTTCAATCTAACATTGTTTTTTTCCAGTATGTTCTTTAAATTTTTTACTTCATATTCTATAAAATAATCATTGCAACCAGAACATTTGTTTAGCTGTCTGCAAATAGTTTTTATTTTTTTATTTTTTCTCTTGCAAATAGTTTTTATTTGCAAACTCAGAAATTCATTCTATCTGTAAAGTTAGGGTCATAGTTATTATATAAATTTCAATTTAAGCCTTAAAAGGAAGTATAGAATCCTCAAATAATTTTCAAATTATTATTTTTTTATTTGTCCTAAGACATTTAAAATCATTTAATAATCATCCTTTTATGATTATTTGTTCAATTTATATTTTATTTATATTCTTTTAAAAATTTTCATTATTAAAAGGAAAGTAACTTAAAACAGGATAAATCAAGGGAAGTAACCCAATAAATACACAGTTTTTGTTACACAACGGCAGTTAGCCTGAGGTAAAAATCGTTGTTTACCAGTATGTTTGACACCCAAGCTGACAAGTGAAGCCATATAATTATGCATGTAAATTGATTTACAGGTAAGATATAACTTCAGGTAATGTCAGTTACACCAGATGCCTGAGATGTTATGTTGGGCAGAAATTTTTCATTCATGAAAAATTTCATACACGGGATTTTTTCAACGGGAGGTCGGGAGGAGACCCCTGAAAACGGGATTATTGTACTCCCGTCGGGAGGTTCACATGTATGCCTATTCAAACCATATCATTATTATTTGCTTTTATATATAAATCAGAAATAACCAATTTAAAATGGAAAATGTTAAAGAAAAAAAAGGAACAAAAAAATTCCCCCCCCCCCCCCAATTTTTTGAACCCCCCTATGATTCATCGCCCCCAAACTCAATCCCAGCTTTCCCTTTGTGGTATGGTACCTTGCAGTACAATTTCAGAGAGATTCATACACTTGAACACAAGTTATTGTCTGGAAACTAGAAAAATGCTTGTTTTTTGGCCCCTTTTTGGCCCCAAATTCCTAAACGTTTAGGGCAATTACCCCCAAACTCAATTCCAGCTTTCCCTTTGTGATATGGAACCTTGCAGTACAATTTCATAAAGATCCATACACTTACACACAAGTTATTGTCCTGAAACTAGAAAAATGCATGTTTTTTTTGCCCTTTTATGGCCCCTAATTACTAAAATTTTGAGGGAAAACCCCCAAAATCAATCCCAGCCTTCCCTTTGTGATATGGAACCTTGTAGTACAATTTCATAAAGATCCATACACTTACAAACAAGTTATTGTCATGAAACTAGAAAAATGCTTGTTTTTTGCCCCTTTTTTGCCCCTAATTCCTAATATTTGGAGGAAATTACCCCAAAAATCAATCCCAGTATTCCCTTTGTAATATGGAACCTTGTAGTACAATTTCATAAAGATCCATACACTTACAAACAAGTTATTGTCATGAAACTAGAAAAATGCTTGTTTTTTGCCCCTTTTTGGCCCCTAATTCCTAAAATTTGGAGACAATTACCCCCAATATCAATCCCAGCATTCCCTTTGTGATATGGAACCTTGTGGTACAATGTCAGAGAGATCCATACACTTACACACAAGTTATGTCTGGAAGTTACAAAAATGCTTATTTTTGGCCCCTTTTGGCCCCTAATTCCTTAACTGTTAGTACCATAACCCCCAAAATCAATCCCCACCTTCCTTTTGTGGTATTGAACCTTATGGTAAAATTTCAATGAGATCCATTCACTTAAACTAAAGTTAGAGTGCGAAAACTAATGTGTATTCGGACGACGACGCCGGACGACGACGACGACGACGACGATGCCAACGTCATACCAATATACGACCACAAAAATTTTTTTGCGGTCGTATAAAAACAAACGAATCAATACTTAATTTTAGACAAATTACACATTCCACAGGGAAAATTATCTGTTTTGTTAAAACTCTTGTGATTCTGTTTGTAAACAATTGATTTAAAGTAATTACCCATACAACAAAGTTAATATTTTTATGGTGAATTAATTTAATTATCTAGGAGACAATATACCGTGACAATGCAGGTCTTGGACATTCCCAGAATAGTTTCAGTTAATTCAATAATTTATCTATGATCATCCGACAGTGAAATGAACAAATCATCTATTAACTTTTATTATTGTGTCTTAATTGTTTGATTTTTATCTGGTAAATTGCTTGAAGCAAGTAACTTGTTTTTTTGTTGATTGACCCACCACTGACCCATAACATATAGAACTAGTAGTATTTTAATGATCTGTATCACTAATAATATACAATCCTTCTAGATTATCATTTAATTATGATCATTGAATCTAACAAATAAAACTCAGGTTGTAAACGAAAAAAGGTTTTTCAGTGCAGTTTTAGGAACTGGAATGTATACATAATTTATGTAATATATTTTCACCTGACAAAGACCGTCTTTGAGTCTTTAATGAGGAGAGTTTTGTTGTTTTTTTACAGATGCTTTCTGTCTTTAAACTAACTTTATATTTTACAATCTTCCTATCAACAGGACTTTGATGAGTATTTAATAGATTTAATTACTCTCTTTGATGTAAAATATATTATTCAACACCTATTTCAGAAAATACAACTGTCCTAACATGTTACAAAGTATTCAATAATCCATTTCCTTTTTTTGCTCTTGAAACTGTTTGAAAGTTAATGGAATATTAATGGGTTTTAGATATTTTTTATATTTACATCGAAGAATGTCTTACGTTAACATGACCCTTCAATCTTAATCTACAATACATTTTTTGGTCTGTTAGTCTGCTAGGGCATTCTATCACTTTTTACATATTAATGCAAAAGTGGTTATCTTTAATGGTGCAGGAAATGGGAATGCACCGGAGAAACCTACATCCATTGTTAAGAGTATTGTAAATTCAGAATTTAAAATAGAGAAAATATTATGCAACTGACAACACTGCTAGATCAATCAATGTAATTGTTCAAAATATTGTAGAAGAATATAACTAGCAAAAAGTTGTAGGTTTGTTATGTTCTTCTTGCTGATTTGTTTTTGCATTACATTTATAAAAACTTGACATTTTGGGGGCATTTACTGATATTGACAAACTCTTCTCACATAATGGTAGATCCAACATAAAAGACCTAAAAAAAAGCCCAACCCCTCTATGGTAATAAAAGGTCTAAGTAAGGATTGGAACTTATCAAAGTGCTCAGTCACCACATTTTTTGGAGTGCACCGTCATTTTATTGTAATTCTTTAACATGTATAACTCCAATTTTCATCCTTCACAGTAAAGATAAATAGATGATTGTTTTCCATAGCACAAGAATGCAGAACTCATAGTACAGAGCAAGAATTCTGACAATTAATGGTTTGTTGATATATAATTCCCCTGGGTCAAATATCCATTTTTTCAATTTAGACATATAATTCAATGAATATGTTATCTTAATCACCAAATGAATAATTGACAGGCAAGAAACACAGAATTTGTTATTACAATCAAGGGAGGAAATAGCTACAGGGAGAATTTTATCATTGACCCATCACGCCTATCTAAATGCTTTCCTTTGATATCTGAATCAATCAATAATTACAGGTATTTATATATAGAAAGTGATTAATATCAAAACCACTAGCCCTATAGGTAATAATCAAGGTGAAAGTACAAATGATTAGCTTCACACCTACTCTATAAAACTAATTATTGTCTCCTTGTCACTTGTTCTACATGGTAAATCTCTAAAGCCTATTACTTTGCCTAGTTAGCCTATAAAGTGGGGATTCTGTCATTGTTAACAGACTCAACGAGACATGGACAGATGTCAAGTAAAGTCTTAATGGGATTTGATTACAAAGCAGTTGTCAATCACTGCAGTTGGAATCAATACACATCTCAATAAAGTAACGGATCTCCTTGGTTTGAAGACAAACGATTAGATCAGCATCTCATGCCTGAAGTTATGTGCTTATGAAAAAAGGGGGCTTCATTTTTCATTTTTCAATTATATCATAATGATAACCTGATATGTCATAATCCCGTCTGTATAGATTTTAAAGACTGTATTATTTGGTTAGCAGAGTAGCTCTGATTTCATATTCAATTGAAGTGTTTTGTATTGCAGACAAATTTGGGTCTTTTATTTCAAGGTTGAAATTGAACGCTCTTTATCTCTTATTCATCAACATTATTCAAAAACAGTATCTTCAGTGTAAAATAACTTCAAAGTTTTAAAATTCAGAGCTCTTAATCTCTAATCCATCTACTTTATTCAAAAACATGATCTTCAGTGTAAAATAACTTAAGTTTTACATTCAGAGGTGCACTTGATTTGCCATATGACATTAAATAATGTACTAACCATAATAACACATAAAACAGACCATAAATAGGCACAACCCTAGCCATTAAAAATTATTCTCCAATGCTTCAATTAATATAATAAGTTGAAAAGTAACTACTTCAAATGAACCTTTACATTGTGTTTCATTATTAATCGCAGGACACCGATTTTCAAGGACCTCGTGGGTAAAGGTGAACCAAGAATTTCATTGTTTGACATAGCTCAAATTTTCTATTGGCTAGCACTAGTATGTAGACTTTAGAAAAATAAAGAAATCAAATGAAGCGCTTCATACTAAAAATGTGTGCACGATCAATGCTTTTACAACTCTATAAAATTATAAAAGAAAAAAACATTCAATTCTTATAAAATTTTACATTTTTATGCTACAACAATGATATTAAGAGTTATAAATATAAAGATTTTTTATTTAGGCATTATTTTAACATTGACACAGATAGCATGTGCAGTCATAGCTGTTGTATTTCATACAGAAATAAACAAAATATTGGAGTGCCTCGCAATTGTTGTCAGTCAATCAAAATTATGTATTTCAATGAAATATACATGTAATTATTCACTTGTAATATTAATTGGTTTTCTGTAAATCAAGAAATCAACTTGTTTGTAAGTAAAAGCCATCGTACTTTTCTCGCACCATTATTACCTCTTTAATAAGCTCCACAATTTCATGTTGCACGTGTACATCCAGACTTTTGATAGTATCAATGAAGTTTTCTTTCTTATCACACTGTATTGCACAACCCAAAATTAACAACAACACTTTCTTAATTTCTGAAAAACTGGCTTCTGAAATTATAAAATTAAAAAATTAAACGATAAAAAAAACACAGCATAATTAAATAAGGTTGATTTTTTAATCTTTTTTATAAGACATGTTATTGGAAAACACATGTTATTGGAAAACACATGTTCATTTATAAACAACAGCCATATTGCATGTTTAAATGAAGTTTGAAGGTCTTTCAAATTATACTAAAGATATTAAATAAAATAAATATACCACTTCAAACGAAAAAGTTCACCTGCATTTTTAAAAAAGGTCTTATTAAATGCACTGTAGTGCAGAGAGGAGAGTGTTATTTCAGGGTAATTTGTTAATTCTGTAATTGCTTTGCTAATGCTTTGGACTAGAAACTAAAACCTTGTGTGCAAAAATATTCATCTATTCAAATAAAAAAGCGCTTTAATAATTACATCGGAAAAACCTTATCCCTGAAAAAATCAACTTAAATGACATGTGCACGTCAGTTTTTTGTACATCCATTTATACTGAAGAAAATCTGGGAAAAAAATTACCCCAATTTTAACAGCTTCTTTGTCTGATAACAGATGTCTTTAAAGATAATTACAGGTATTCGACAAATTGAATCTATCTGTCCCATTCTTACAAATATCAAATTATGTATAATAAGATGAAACTACCCCTCAATACCAAAACTAATATATAAAGACCAGTCAAAATTCCTTACAAAACTATAGATCTACAAAGAGACTCTATTGTAGATTTTATGAAAAGATTTCGGTTCAACTATTTTTTATCATATTGATTTGATAAACAGTTATATAGATAACAAAAGATCCTCTGTACTGGTACTGGCAAATAGACTGGCATCAAAATTTAAATCTACAAGATTACATAAAATTTTTTGTTGACCTAACACAGGTATATACTTGTAAAACATACATCTTTATAAACAATAAAATGATACTTCAATTTATTATGGTAATTTAAATCTTATAACATTGTCATCTTTATGTCTATAAAGCTTTACTATAAAATGTCATTTATAGTGATGTGACCCTAAATGATCCGTAGGAACTATATAACCAGAACTTGACTTTCTTATGAATAATGGTATCAAGTATTGCCATCTCTAGTGTTAATGGACCTTGGTATACTAAAAATAACAAATCATAAAAGTGTGACCAAGTCAGTTCTTTTATTATCATTTTGAATGCAAAGATTTAATTTTTCAAATCAAATTAAGATTGAGTTATGGTACATGTCTGCCAAACAAAAAATGTCACTGCCCTATACTATTGAGAATTTGCTATATATGTGATTAAATAACCTACATGTAGATTCCTATGTGAGATTTCTTCCTTTTATCAACTACAGCAAAATATCTACGCAAGGCTTATGTAGTGATAGTAAACTACAGCAAAATATGGTCAACAAATCCAGGCACATGTGGCTAATCTGTTGCATGTAAACTACATCAAAACATTGTCAGACCAAGTAAGGTACATATGGAAGAACGATCCTTGTCAAATAAACCGAAATATTAAAAATAAATGGGGAATGTGTTCCATGGACACAGATGATGCCCCCGTTTACACATAACTTTATAAAGGGACATAACTCAGGAATTGTAAAAGTGATGCTACCAAAATTTGTAGTTGATCTGAGTTTTGTGGTAATAAGCAGTGTTTCATAACATTTAGTTGAGGCAAACTTAAGTTAGAGAACAGAAACAAATATTTCAGCAATTTTTCCATTTGTAAAGGGGCATAACTCTAGAACGGTAAAAGTGACACCACCAAAATTTGAACTTGATCTGTGTTTTGTGGTAATTAGCATTGTACATAAGTTTCATAACATTTGGTTGAGGCAAACTAAAGTTAAGAGAACGGAAACAAAAAAATCAGCAATTTTTCCATTTGTAAAGGGCATAACTCCTGAACGGTAAAAGTGATGCCACTAAAATTCAAACTTGATCTGTGTTTTGTGGTAATAAGCATTGTGTATAAGTTTCATAACATTTGGTAGAGGCAAACTAAAGTTAGAGAACGGAAAGGAAAAATTCAGCAATTTTTCCATTTGTAAAGGGCATAACTCTAGAACGGTAAAAGTGACACCACCAAAATTCAAACTTGAATTGAGTTTTGTGGTAATAAGCATTGTGTATAAGTTTCATAACATTTGGTTGAGGCAAACAAAAGTTAGAGAACGGAAACGAAAAATTCAGCAATTTTTCCATTTGTAAAGGGGCACAACTCTAGAATGGTAAAAGTGATGCCACCAAAATTCAAACTTGATCTGTGTTTTGTGGTAATAAGCATTGTGTATAAGTTTCATAACATTTGGTTGAGGCAAACTAAAGTTAGAGAACAGAAACCAATTTTGGGACGTACGTCACAAGTACAGACGGACAAGGGTAAAACTTAATGCCCCTCCGCTACGGCGGGGGCATTAAAAAGAGAGTACATGTATAAGAACTGATACTTGTCAACTTCACCAAACTTGGATTGAACAATCAAGATCACGAGAAAGAATTGAAGCTTGTCAACTACATCACAATATGACCAGACTTCAATGGCACATATGAAAGAACTTTTTGCTTATAAATGACCACAAAAATATACAACCAAGTGAAATATAAATGGTCTCTTGCTGCTGGTTAACTACAGCACAACTTAGATATACAGCCAATGCAAGATTCAATTAAATATGATTGCAATTAAGCGACATTAGAATGAGGTTCAACAGAAACAGGAAACTATAGTTGTTTGGGATCTGTGCATGGTCAAAATGATATGATCATGTTCCTGTGTTTGTAGAAATCATTACATGAAAATTTACATAAAATACTGTTTTATATGCATACATATATATCATTTATGGATTTAAGTTCAAGTTTAATGATGCAAAGGTAATTACAAGATTCAAGTTGTAACACGGTTATTAGTGCTTGTTGAAAAGGATGTAAGGCAGGGTATTGATAAGAGTAGTACATTGTACTTCCAAGAACGGAGAAAAGACTGAAAATAGGAGCTATCTTTTAGGAAATTTTATGAAGTGATCTAAAAGCAAATTAAGAAAAAATAATCCTATACTATAAACTTCTGAAGAAGGGTAGATATAATAGCAATTACTCTGCAGCTTATAATTCCTGAAAAATTACTTTTTCTTTGTGTGGAACAAAGAAGAGCATATCTTTAACTATGATGAGTTGTAAATATAATATGGGGACAAAGTCCCCAATTACAGTAAATGTTACCTGATGATAGCGTTTCTTTGTTTACATTGAAAATAAAGTCACAACAAAATTCCCTAACAACAGGACCAACGTCGGAAACGTTTCCGTATTTCCGTTTCTTTTTTAACAGATTCTGAAGTTAAAATATGCTTGAATTAAAAAATCTAATGTATACAGACATCGTCCCCTTTCACAGGTAATGCCTGCCTCATATTATGCACATTGCTTTGATCCTTTACACAGCAAATAGGACACAAAACAATGCAAACAGCCTTGTATAACCTACCTTTTTCTGGTTCTTTACATATCTGTTGAAAGTTGGGTAACTTTACTATCAGTATCTGTTGCAAAGCATCCTATAAGTAAACAGAAATAACAACTGTATAGTACAAGCTTTAATCTACACAAACAAGATATATATATACTTGAACAATGTATTAACAAAATTACATTCTGCCTCATTTAGGTATATCACAAGATGAGCCCATGCATCCTGAACTCACCATTTTTCCCAACATGTGAAGTCTAAAGATGCCACCCATATTGTTTATGAAGCTGAGACAAGTTATCACATTCTCATGATAAAAGTTGATGTACTGTAGATTCATTTTTATTGCAATCTTGGGATACCAATTTTGGGAACTGAAAACATCTGACAGTCATTTAGTCCATACTCAAGGCTGTTAGTGTAAAGACTTTCATATGATAAAAGAAAATTTAGGTAACTTTAAGGGAGGTCTTTTCAAGACAAACATAATAAACCCCCTTGATCTACTGTTATACACTAAAGGAAAATACTGAAAATTATTACAGCAAGGTTATCTCATAATGGATGATAATTGAACACTAGCGATGAAATGCAAAATGAAAAACACACATGGGATTACAGGCAGACAGACAGACAAAGTAATGTGTAGGTATATACTATGGTATTTATAAATTTGGCAACTTTTATAGTGGGATAATTATAAAATACCAATAATTCTTAAACGTAATGGTGTCTGTAGTTTCTACACTAAATTGTGTTCTCTCAATCAGTCAAAATACATGTATCAAAACCTACTAGTTAGGGTAGATAATTGTAGTCCAATTTATACTATATAATAGTAGCTTGTGTGAAGTATAAATATCTGCTTAGTCTGATGTCAGAGTTTTACCACTCATTGTTAGATCAAGTATACTTCAATTCTAGAGGATATCCTTAAATTATTCTTTATCTAAATAACTGGTATAAAACACGTAATTTGTTTAAAAAGTCAATCACATCCTTGGACCATATAAAATATAAGTGTTTAGTCAAACACAGGATGTCTTCAACAATGTAGGAAACAAATATGTATATTTACATAAAAGTATATTTGAAATTCAAAGAATGTAAATTGAGGGCAAGTTTGAGGTTTATTCAACTCTTCAACTTTTGTATAAGGTTTTGGATTTCAAATATTTTGACCTCCGGCATCACTAAAGAGACATTAATTGTTAAAAAGTGCATTTTGTGCAGTAAAATTTACACGGTGAATTCAATTTAACCACATCAAAAATAATGCAGAAAATATGACAAGGATATTAATTGCCTGTTCATCTGGTTTAAAACAGGAGAAAACAAGCAGTATCTTTATTTTCCCTTTTATCAAATACCAAATTAATCAGCAGCTAAATCTATGCCTGCAGAAATGAAATCTAAAAAGTTTTTATCATTCTTTTTTTTTAATCTTTTTGTGCAAGCCTCTTTGATATTTGCCTTAAGTTTTAATATCACCTAAACAGAAGTACTCTATTTGCAATTGTCAATGAAGAAATTGACAAAATTATCAGGGACTTGAACAACTCAGTTGCATAGTTTGATAAAAAAAAAGTTAGTTTGTAACAAACAAAATTTTATTAGGGAAAAGCTTTTGAAGAGATCCAGTCTGAAAAGAAAAATTTGCTATTAAAATGACAGAGAATTGTGAGAGACTGCAAGGGCACCTTCACATTTTGATCAGAGGGGCAAGGGTATCAGCTACAATTGAGCCGTTTTGCAACATAGATTTATTGGTAGCTTGATATGTACATTTAAATAAAATATATATATATATATATATATATTATATATGTAGCGTTTTATGTACTGTATCCTTTTAAATTTATATTACATAATGTTTTCATTTTACTAATGCATTATAATTTTTCAAGTTACTCTATAGGACTTACTTAAAGTATGCTTCAACAACTTATATGTTAAATATTAGTGTAACATTGTGCCAAAGTTATTTCAGCAATACCTCGTAACTTTGATTAAATAGACGATAAATACAACTTTAATACAGCCAAAGCTTCAATGGTTAACTTGTTCAAAAAAAATAATTGGATCTGGAAACAAAAGATCTAGAAAGTCATTAAGAAGATTAACTCCCTTTTGTTGTGAGTTTAAGACTTTGAAGCGGAATGCAGGTATTGTTAGACTTAATGACATTGATCATTGGAGCGTGTCAACAAGCCTTCATAATCTTCACTCTCCCAACTAATTCATTTACCTTGTTCAAACATTGGCCCAATACACATTTATTCAACCTTGTTACCCTTATAAAGGTCGAAATGAAAATATTGTTTGCACAATGCCTTGATTATAATAAAGCCAGACAAAAATATTATAAAAATTTTTAAGGATATAATCACAATAAAAAAACAATTCTTTTCAATATAAAGTTCAAGTAAATGATCATAAAAGCTTGGCTGTAAAGTTTTGTAAATATCTCAACATCTAAACCATGAACAAACAAATCATTTGGTGCTATGCACCAACACCTTAGGTGTATGTATGTGGAGTATATCAGTAAAATCTACATGAACAACTCTCGATATTTACTTGTAGAACCATTAAACCATAAACTTACTCTCTGTTATACGGCCATATCCTAGTTAATTTGGAGTGATAGTCGATAAGATTTCTTTAAATTTTATCACAAACAATTCTAACCACTTTCACTTACTTACTGTATGATTTCTATAAATTAAAGTCAAACTTATCTATTTAAACAGTCCTTCTAGATTTATACCCACAGCAATTTAGTTTTTGGTTACAAGTACTTGTATATAGTTTCACAATAAAATGATTTCAAAATTTTCCCTTTCTCTTTTAAGACTAATCATTCATCAAAATAATCCTATTATTATTTGAATTGTTTGTTCAATCTCCTTGAAAGACATAAAGTTGGTCTATATAAAAATAAGGAGATGTGGTATGATTGCCAATGAGACAACTATCCACCAAAGTTCAAATGAAGTGAATGAAAGCAATTATAGGCAACCGTACGGCCTTTAACAATGAGAAACACCCATACCGTATGGTCACTGTTAAAGGCCCTGACATGAAAAATATGAAACAATTCATTTGAGAAAACTAACGGCCTAATTTACATTTTATTGTGGAACTATATACAAGTATGATTATTTTCACAAATGGAAATTATGCATACTGTATGAACACTTTATATATGCATAGTATAGTATATGCATAGTATAGTATATGCATATATAAAGTGTTCATACATTACAGTATGCATATTGTAATCGCAAATGTTGGCTTAATCTTACAAGGGTGGAAAGGAGGGGACTGGATAGTAACCCTTGGCTAGCAAAGATGAAGAGGAGGGGACAGGGTAGTTACCCTTGGCCAGAAAAGATGGAGAGGAGGGGACTGGATAGTAACCCTTGGCTAGCGAAGATGAGGTATTGCAGAAATCCTATAGTCAATATTCACAATTTGAACAATGTATATTTAAGTAAAAGTTAGAACTCTAGATTTTGTTACGATTTTTGAGTTGTTGGATTGCTGTATCAACAATGTACATCCCACAACTCCTGTCTACGAATACCAAATTATCAGAGGTGACTTTAGGTGGGTGTTTTGTCAAAAAATTACAAACTACAAAAGAAACTACATGCAGTTATATATTTTTATTTTAATGAAAAAATGGTTGAATCAACCAAATAATTGTGTTGTTAGTACGTAATCCAAAGGCAGATTTTTTTAATTATTATTTTCTATAGTCTATATAAGTATATCTCATCATGATTTTATTTTCAGATAAAATTTCTGATTGACTGAAAGTTAAAAGGTCACATGGCCTTTGGATAAATTAGTTTCTAGTAGAACATGTAAATCTATAATCCTACTGAAAAAGAATTTGAGATTCTATCAATGAATTGGAAAAAAAATTAAACATCAATTGAACCACCTGGTGTCAGATAAACTTTCTTGGGTCTACAGAATAATACCTATCAATCAATTTGTCATACCTTTGAATAAATTCCAACCCTATACTTTTGTTTGTCAAATGAAACTAGTTACCATAACATTCATTCTCATTGACAAAGAAAAATGTCTCAGTCCAGTGGCTTTATTCAGATGGTTTCATGCAAAGAAGAAATAAAAATTGCCTCTGTACATTACTAACATCTCAATTCATGTATAAGATGAAGAAAATGGGGAAAAAAAAACTTGTTAAAATTATGTTGAATTTTTGGAGAGTTTGCATTGGTAATGACTAATCGCAAGGAAAATGTTCTGGATTTTAGTCATCAAACATTAAGAAATTCCCAGATAGTTAGACAGACATTCAGACAGACAACCAGTCAGAAAGACAATATGTCTGTCTCCATTTTTAGTGGGGTTTTGTTATAATATCTTCCAAACACATAAGGCCTTGTGAGAGTGGTAAACAAACATTTTCCTGAAATCTCAGATCAGACAGAATATGAAACCTTTTTTTATACATGCTATATCATTGAAAACTGACAATATTATTACAGTCAAAAGATCTTTTCACTTTACTTAAAATTTATTTCAAATGAAGACCAGAGAATGAGGCTCAAGCATCCTACGACTTTGGCGATGGATCAAATTGTAGAAATTTGTCAATTTTTATTCAAAACTGTAGTATAATTTCATCCCAAAATATTGTGTACATAAAATCTTATTAATGTAAGTAAATTTACTTAGGAAATTGACTCTGTGTTATAACTAAATTTTCTTCATAAAATTCACTTAAATACCCAATAAATCATTCAACTTTCAATAAAAAATCAATCAAAGTCACAAAATTGTATAATTAAAAAGTTAAATTGGCATCATTTACTCCAGATTATTATTATCAAAATGTCTTCCAATCCTGAAGTAATTAAATAAATTACTAAACTAATCTCTAGATGAATTTTAATTGAACAAAGGTTACATTTTTCTGGACTTAAGTCACAGTGATTTATTGATATAAGATTATAATAATCTAGGATTAACCAGGCCTATTTTTATACCCCTTGTTGATCACAGAGATTTATTCCAAATCAGGTATTGACTGATAATACACTTGCGATA